TAATAATTCAAAAATGTCTCACTCTAAGATTCTCTAACAGAATCACTGGACTTGTCTGATTTAAAGGCCCACATTGTTCTTATTAGGCTGAGAGAATAGGTTTTATTCCTATATACCGAAGTAACTAAAGCAACCTTAAAGAAGTTTCTGCAAGCAAAAATGGCCCAGAAACCATGTGTTTATATACTCCATAATATATACACATGAATATATCCTATTGATTGTTTCTCTGGAGAACCCTAATACATGGTATAAGTGTTCATCATCATTCTTTTGTGTGTGGATATCCAGTTTTCCCAGTAGCATGTGTTGAGGCTATTGTTTCCCCATTGAGTGGTCTTAGTATTCTTGTTGAAGAGCATTGGACCATATACTTGAGGGTTTATTTCTGGGCTCTCTTTTGGTCCATTTGTCTGTCTTTATGCCAGTGCCACACTGTTTTGATTACTGTACATTTCTAATATGTTTTGAAATCAGGAAGGGTGAGGCCTCCAAGTGTGTTCTTTTTCAAAATTTTGGCTATTCAGGATGCCTTGAGATTCCCTATGAATTTTGGGTGAATTTTTCTATTTCTGCAAAAAATGCCATTGGAATTTTGATAGGGATTGTGTTCAATCTGTAGATTGCTTTGGGTAGTATGGGCAATTTAATATTAGGTCTTCCAATTCAAGAACTGGGATGTCTATTTATTTGTGTCATCTTTCATTTCTTTCAGCAACGTTTTGTAGTTTTCAGGGTACAAGTCTGTCATCTCCTTGGTTAGGTTTATTCCTAAGTATTGTAATCTTTTTGATGCTATTATAAATGGAGTTGTCTTCTTAATTTCCTTTTTGGAGTACTTGTTAATATACAGACATGCAACTGATTTTGGGGGTGTTGATTTTATACTCTGAAACTCTTCTGAACTCTTTATTAGTCCTAACAAGTTTTTTGGTAAAATCTTTACGGTTTTCTACATATAAGACCCTGTCATCTGCAAACAGAGATGATTTTATTTCTTCCTTTCCAATTTGGATGCCTTATTTTGGTTTTCCTTGCCTAATTGCTCTGGCTAGGACTTCCAATACTAAACTTCATTCAATTTTTAAAATAAAAATTAGAGGTACTATTTTTACCTAACAGGTACCTTACCAACAGACTGGTAAGGATTAAAATAACTTATAATATCCAGATGAATTATATCCCAAAAGTAGAGAAACACTGGTTTCTCTGAAGAGGGCTGTGTGAGTGACAGGGAACAAAATAAAAAGGCAACTTTTGCTTTTTTATTTCCTTCT